ACGTCACTGACGTTACGTCAAGGCGAGCGCGTGCGAGATGTTCGCAATTCGCATCGCAACAGGCATGTAACTGGCCGCCAGTGACGTTGCGTTCATACCACACTGGTCCCAGTACCTCATCGTGGTGTGGAGGTTACTGGATGGTGAATTCTAACAAGATCGAAACTGGGATTCAAGCTGCCACCACTTACATGCTACCCCACCCAGAAAAAATTCTCACCTCGGGTTCGTCACTGTCGTTACGACAGTGTCGTACTCTGCATTCTGCTCCAGGATTTCTGGATTTCTCTGAGAGCGCCGTTATGCTGGATGGCTTTGTCCGCACTGGAAGAAGCTTTATTAGTGCATTCACACACTGGGACCCGAGACAGCTGATAGTATCAGCCAGGCTGGTTGTATGCCGTAGCCATTTTTGGCAGTATTTGCTAGTGGCATTGTTGTGAGAGGGCGATTGGCCTATGGCCCACAATAAGATTTGAATCAGCTTGAATTGAATGGAATTGAATTGAATTGAATTGCGTTTATGGCCCATAAAATATGGGAACAGAAGTCTCAGTTGTTGTGTTATGTGTGTACTTTCGGTTCACCCGGTTCTCTTATGAAGACACACCGCCAGTTCTTCACTGGCTCTCCGTCATCGTCGTAGCCCACGACTCGTATGCAAGGTACTCCAATATGTGCTGGTTTGGGTCTAGGTTCTCAGGATTGCACCTTCGAGGCATGATGAGAGTCACAATAGCTGAGGCCGATCGAACAAAGATGATCAAATCATCGTGAGGTGATCAGGAACGAAGCCGGCATAAGAGAGTTCTACACATGAGCATTGCCATGAGCGTGCGCCCGATCGATCGACGTCGTCTTTTATACACATCAAGTGAGTCAGGCCCATATTCATGGTCTTTTGGAGTCCACTAGTTACAACAACAACCTCAGAATCCATCAAGAAGCTACATGTTCATCGTTGTTCGGTGTTTATTTTACATAATTCCCGAAAATGCAGGTATTATTCCCTAAAATAATTCCTTAATTCCCTTCCCCGGGAATATTCCCGGGAATAATAGGTATAATTCCCCACTTTCAGCCACCCTGGAACCATTCGAGATCTTGTGGAGTATGTCGATATTATCCTCCTCTTACTCCTCAGTTGCTTTCTCGGATGATGCACCATGAAAGCTATCTGTGGAGGGAGGGAAGTCATTTCCCTGGTTAGAACCAGATTCAGTCCCCATTAAGTCATTGGTACCCGTATCCTCACTATAATCCAACTCATCCAAATCATTGATATCATAACCAGAATACATTATTAAGATAACCAGAACAAAAAGTACAATAACCTTCAACAGAGGTGACCAAAAGAAGTGACAATTATGGTCTCTGACAACGATTGAACCACTTCATTGAGTAACAACTATGAGACACTCTAGCTAATGAGACAAATTACACGAAGTTCACGACTATCGAGCGATCAGTTTATCAGAGCTATCGCAATGTTGGACCGTCCAACTTGGATGATCCCGTGAGCCCCGGCGAGTTTATGACGAGGGACAAGTCCAAATTTAATTGACAGGTGTCATGGTGTGGTAAACACTTCCAAATATCGCGCTAGATGTGTATGTAATTCACTAATTCTCGAGTAGGCAGTTACGCTCCTGATGGTTTCAAACAGTGCCACTAAGAGACGTACTGCTCCCACCATGCCGTCCGTAATAGGGACACATTTTTGTGTCCCTATTACGGAGCCACACGTTACGGAGTGCGGGAAGCGACTGTTTTTGAAGGCAGCTGTGGCTACATATACTACAAGTATATGTATAGCGACTCATTGTAAATAAGTATTGGTCGTGAAATCCTGAATGCTGGCGTTTTTGGAGGCGCTGAATGTAACGGTGAGCCCAACGTTGAAAGAAATTATAGTTGCATATCTACCGCTACGAATTGGCCGCAAACCCGGAGACAGGCCCGTTTTCATACAAGGCATGGTACCTACATTAGAGATGTGATTATCTTCTCAAGAGATCTGAAGAGCCAGAATAAAGAGGGGGCACAAAGCGAAGCATGGAGAAGTTCGCCACGGACTCAACCGCATACCGTACGATACTAGTAACTCAATAAGCATAAGTCGGGAGAGTCGGGAAGGACTGAATATGCGACTTATCATTTCTTCAAGAGTCTTCAGATGACTTCTGTTGAAGAGTTTCAAAAGCCAGTTCATTCACATCCATCAAATACGAGACGAATATAAGACTTCATGCTGTCTAGAAGAAAAATGAATATGGACGGAAGAAAATCGTCCTGTTTCGAATAAGATGGGTTCCATCGAGTGCACATCCACAATGGAGGAGATCCACTCAGACCTTAGGTGTACCACCAAGCAGGTCATCATCTATTTCACAGTTTCCGAGGGCTATCTTGAAAAGGCCGTTGTCACCCCAGTCTTCATTCCAGGAGTTCACGACAAGCCAGTAAGCTTGTCCAGTCTCTTCACCCCAACCAATTATCTTCACAGCATGTCCACCGAGTTCTTTTCCAGAAGTATGCTTGTATACACCGGACCTGTAGGCTAGGAAATCTTCGTAAACAATGAAAGAAGCCGAAACCTGATCAAAGTTAACGCTGGGATCACAGAAGTAGATCGGTCCCACCGGGCCATCGGTCCTGATAGCATTCTTGGCATCGTTTACAGAGTATTCATACGGAACGGATTCCACCAGGAAATGACGATCACTGAGAATGATAAACTCGATTAATTTGGCCTAGCTTAGCCTTCCATTACTCTCTCAAAGTGGTCGTATACTTCGGGTTGTGACATTGTTCGGCACAGTTGGGAGTCTCGTATGAGTCCTGATAGGCAATGACAGTAAGTGCCTCAGCGGTCGCCGGAGGCGACACGCCGCTACAGCTTACCTTCGGGCATTTGGGGTACTTGCTATCATTGACATGATGAGCGCATGGGGGGAAATCGTACGGCCAGCACCCATCGTCTTTAGTCATATCATCTTCCGCAAGGTAATCTCCACCTGAGCACCGAAAGAAATGTTCTACTACACTTCAGGATTGTGCAGCATATGTGAATATCGGAGGTTCAATTTCCATAAATCAGCCCAGTATACTGGGATGAGTTGTCCCAGACGATGCTACAGCAGAAGTCATCGTCGCTGGCTCATTATTGAGAACGACAGCGACCCGTGCCGCGATTATCATCATATTTCCCAGCGTCTACAGTGCAGATCTCTCCTCTGTCTTCATTCTGTATACAAAAATGGCTATCGAATTGTCGAGGATAAGTCATAGGCTATGACTCATAGCAAACTCGCCTCGGATTCCGAGACTCGTTTCGGTCGACTCCCCTCACCAGTTGCGATCCCTTTATTGTGCACCCAAGACCAGGCTAAGGAGGGAATTCCACCATCGCATCCGAAGGACCTGGGCAGTAAGTACCGATTGGAAAGCTCCCAGTCTAAGTCTGGCATCCTCGACTCACGGCGCACAAGCATTCATCTCGCCGGCCGATAGTAGCTCCGTGAACGTCCCATTCGACTTGATACATAGGCGGTCATTGAAGGCCTCAGTGACACCGAATGCCCAACAGCTTCCACAATCTGACTGGTCCCTGGAGATCGAGGCAGCATTTCCTCACACAGTCGTCAGTTAGCTACCTGATGTGGCGGATAACCTTTGAGCAGTTGGGAAAGGCGGTGCGAGCGTCGAAGTCAGTAGGGAGGTCTTGCAGCTCCTCTATAGCATAGCCTTTTCTTATGACTTTGTCGTTTGACCCTCTCTTCAATGTTCCACATAACATCTTAGCATCACGCAGGGAGAGGTCTGAGGAAAAGAAGACTGATGCTTCGACAAACACTTGAAAAGTAGAGCTACTCTTGAATCTTTTCTGCCCAGTCGACGCGGTCCATGTGTTCTGCTTGGAATTGATCTCGTCAACGAGGCTCTGCATGATGGCCGGTCTGGTCTCATCGTAGAGGACCGCCAAATCTTCAGTCGAGATGAGTTCTGACTGGATCCTCAACTCCTCCTCAAAACGAGCGAAATGCTGGGCTTCTTCTGCAGGAGTATAAACCAATCCTGAATATGGGGAGTTGTTGTTGTTGCTCCAATGGGCTGTCGATATGGTGAACCCAGTCGCACCTCTATGATCCTTGAGGTCGTCAAATATGCTTTTGGCATGCCTGATGGCCAGGATTGAGTTCTCCCAGAAAGACCAGATGCAGGTGATTGTGATGAATGAATGATAGACCATTGACATGCCGTAATATGGCTTCGGAATCACAAGTCTACGTTGGAAATTCCAACTCAGAATGTACAAGGACACCACTGGTCGGGAAGTATTTCCGAAGGAGGCCACAGGAGAAAACCATAAGCCCTGCGCTCCAAAGCCTGAAGTTCAGGCTGTTCGTGTTGTTCTCGATGATGTTATCAAGAAGTGTCTCCGCAGTTTTTGAAGTCCTCCATCAGCATCGAGTAGCACGCATGAACTGGGAACGTGTGAGCTCAGTTGTCCCCAGCTTTGGAACCTCCACAGTGAATTTGTTTCGGCAAGATTTCCTAGAATGACCGACTTTTCGGAGAGGTTCTCTCTCAGAGAATGGATCACGAGAAT